GCTGTACCTCTTTGACGTTGCGGGGCGTCTCCATGTTGATGATAGCCTGTGTCTTCTCCGGGTTTATCTCAATGCCTCTCCGGCTGACCATGTAGCCGAGGAACTTGCCGCCTTGGACGCCAAAGGCGCACTTCTTGGGGTTGAGGCGGAGTTTGAACTCCTTCATGATTTCAAAAATCTCCCGGAGGTCGTCAGCATGTGTGGTGGCTCGCTTGCTTTTGACGATCATGTCGTCGACGTATGCCTCCATCGTCCGGCCGAGGACTGCTCTGAAGATCTTAGCCACCATCCTGGTATAGGTGGCGCCGGAGTTTTTGAGCCCGAAAGCCATGATGAGGTAGCAAAAAATTCCCTCCGGGGTCATGAAGGCCGTCTTCTCAGCGTCATCTTCATGCATGAAAATCTGGTGGTACCCTCAGAAGGCATCAAGGAACGACATCAACTCGCATCCCGCCGTCTCGTCCACCAATTGATCAATGTTGGGGAGAGGGAACGGGTCCATGGGGCACGCCTTGTTCAGGTCAGTGTAATCAACACACATTCTGAATGTCGACGGTTTTTGGGCGAGGACGACGTTGGCTAGCCATGTTGGGTACTTCACCTCTTTGATGTGGTTGATTGAGAGGAGCATGGTGACCTCCCCTTTGACGAAGTCCCGCCTGTCGGCGGATAAGTAGCGTCGCTTCTGCTTGACAGGCGCGGAGGCTGGATCGACGTTCAGCCGGTGGGTGATCACCTTCCGGCTGATGCCTGGCATGTCGTCCGGGCCCCACGCGAAGATAATGGCGTATGACCGTAGGACGAGGAGGATGGCGTCTCGTTGGTCCTGCGGGAGTTGCTTCCCGATTTTGAGGACCCGCTCCGGCCAGGAGGTATCCAGGGGGACCTCCTCGACCTCTTCGGCCGGTTCAGCATGCGGTCTCTCCTCGTCCTTGGCAACGGTCGCTGTGATGGTGTCTATTCTCTGCCCTTCCCTTTCGGCCGGCCTCGTTAGCTTGAGGTAGCATGCCCTGGCTATCCTCTGGTTTCCTCTGGCGTAGCCGATGCCGCCACTGCTGGAGAACTTCAGGCATAAATGTTTCATGGAGATGATGGCCTCCAGGTCCTCCAGTGCTGGCCGCCCCCAAATCAGGTTGTGGGCGCACTGAAGGTTGACCACCATGAACTCCATGTCAATTTTGGCACGGTGGGAGCCGTCGCCGACCTCCACGGGGAGGACTATCGTGCCTTCGACGTCGATAGAGTCCCCGGTGAAGTCGGACAACAGTGTCTTGATCGGCTTCAGCAGAGCTTTGTCCAGCTTTAGCTGCTTGAAGGTGTCCAGGTACATCACGTTGACGGAGCTCCCCGTATCGATGTAAGTGCGGTGGATGATGGAGTCACCGGTCTCACACCAGATGACGAGGGTGTCCCTGTGTGACTCCGTACCTGGAGGCAGATCCTTGTCGGTGAAGGTGATCGCCTCCGTTCGTTGCTTCTTTGGCTGGGGGGGAACGTGGGACACCTCCCCAATGTAAAGGGATTGGGCCCATTTCTTCCTCTGAGTGACGGAGTCCCCCTTGGTATTCCCACCTACGATGAGGTGAATATGGTTCTTTTTTGGCAGAGGCTCCTCAAAATCTTTGTCGTCGCTGAGCCTACCGATCTCCCGCTTCTTCGCAGAGGGTTCGCCCCCAGGTTTGCCGGTGTTTACCCACGTATTTTTGCGCGGGCCACCTTTAACAAATTGGGAGAGTTCCCCCTGATGAATCAGGCGCTCGATGGCTTTCTTCAGCGTGATGCAGTCGTCGGTGTTGTGTGAGGAGTTCTTGTGGAATCGGCAGTATGTGCCGCCTTGCTGGATGGCAAGGACCTCCTCCACCGGCCGAGGAGCTTGTTCAATGAGGCCATGCTTCTCGGCATAGTCGAGGATGGTGCTGACCGGGTGGGTGAGGGGGACCCCCGGCCGTTCCAACCTCGGCCGCTAATGGCGGTCTTTCTTGCTTTGTCCACTAGAGCCGTGACGGCCCTGGGCACCCTGGCCGGTCGGGGATGCTCCCGGGGCCGGCGAAGGATTTGTCTTCTTAGAGGGATGGCCTCCGTCTTTTTTGTGGTTGTGGATCTCGACGGCATCAGCGTACAAGCTCCCGCACTGAAGCGCCTTTGCATATGACCTCGGAGGGTCAGTGATGAGGCTCTTGGCATACGGGGAGCTGCGGAGGGCTCCCTGGTAGAGGACGAGGAGGGTGCGCTCATCGGCCCCCTCGACCTCTTCGGTCTCCCTCGTCCACCGATCAATAAATGACCAGAGGGGTTCGTCATGTTGCTGCTTGACGGAGAGGAGATGGGTGAAGTACTTCTTCGCACGCTTCCTCTTGGCAAAGTGGGTGAGGAAACGTTGGGCAAGGTCCTGCCATGAGTCTATACTCCCTTCGGGAAGCGCGTTGAACCACTCGTACACCGGCCCCTCGAGAGTGGAGAGTAACCAACGGCAGAGATATTCATCCGACGCGTTCACCATCAGCATGTTGTTCTGATAGCGGCTGAAGTGCTCCTGGGAGTCTGATCGGTCGTCGTAGGACTTGATGGCGTTTCCCCTGTACTTCTCCGGGATGGGGGCCGAGAGCACCCTGTTAGTGAAAGGGGTCCTGGTCCTGACCTGGATGACGGGATCACCTCGCCCTTCGGCCAACTCCCTCTCAAGGGCGCTGACCTTGTTCATGAGAGCATTGAGGCCAGGATCATTGGAGGCGCCGGCCGTGGGAATGTTTGTCGATTGCCTGGCCTCCATCTGGGCCAGCCTCCTCTCCAGATGGGCGATGACCTCGTCCCGAGGATCCCTGGCGGCTGCAGCGGCGCCCTGCTGGTTCTGCGTGCGCCCCTCGTGGGCCGCGTTGATCTGGTGGCGCACGTCATCCTCGTGCAACTTTCCCTTGCCCTTGTCCAGGCGGGGCTGGTTCGCTGTCCGGGACACAGACCCCAAGCTTTCCCTTGGCGAGCCAGGTCGACGCTCACCAATTCATCCCGCCATCCTCTCCGAAACCGGACGACGGCGCGTGTCACTCAGCCTATTGAAGGCAGAGGCTTTTCCACACGCTGGGGTCTGCCCAGGCCAAAGAGGGGAAGCGGGGTGGGAGTGGGACGACACCGTGTCCTGGGCTATCACCCCCTCATCGTTGCCTAACCTGGTGGCCAACGGTTGGGGCTGAGGAGGTGGAGTGACGTTCCCCTCAGTCCTTGGCAAGAGTGCGCTGAGGACGGTGGGGTTCTGAGCCAAGCTGGCGATGATGACCGACAATGCCGCCTGAACCTGTGGATCCACGGACGGAGAAGCCGTGGCCATAGGCTGGGCCGGGGCGTGGTATGTCTTCTCTGCGCGCTTCTTGTCCAGACTGATGCGGGCATCAGGGGCACCGCCGTTGAGCTGGTTGCGTAGGTCCGTCGTGAGGTTGATGGCCTCCTGGAAGACGTCCTCTCCTCCGACCTGGTCGGTCGTGGCGTCCTCCTCACGCTCCCTGGTCTCCTGATCCTCAGGGATGGCCTTGCTGACGAGGTTGCAGTTTGACTTGGTTCTTCCCATGATCAGTGGTTAGCTGTGCTTGGTAGCGACGAAGGGTGCTAACTTGACTGTTCTAGCTCTCAATGAAAGCACCAAATGATAGAGTATATATCTAGAGAGAAGTGAGAGCTAGAGAGAGAAGTGCAAGTAAATGCTTCAATAGAATGATTTTGTAACCCCTACAACTACCTCCAGAGGAAGTATTTATAGGAAAAATACGGGCTGGGCTCCCAAGCCTTGGGCTTGGGAGGCCCATTTACAACTGGACCGCTATTGGGCCGAATACAAAGTAAATGATGGAGTGTATAAACGAGTAAGTGTAAAATCCGGTTCTGCGAGGTTTCCGTGGCCGACGAGGGCACGACCGACGAGGGTACGGCCGACGGTGGCACCCTAGTTCCCTGGCTTCAGAATCATATTCCGAGTTGGTCCCTCTTCAGCCGACGGGGGTCCTTTGGATGGCGAGGGCATCCTAGTTGGCTTGTACTTTCTGTTCTGAGTATGTGGGTCCTGGGGCCTAGACCCATATACTCCATCAGAGGGCATTGGAGTCAATTCCATTTATACGTTGGTATCTATTCCTAAAATAACGCTGCATGATTCCTTCCTTAACCGTCTCTCCACGATTCTTTCCTAAGATATCTTCTTCCTGCGTCGTTCTTCCTCCTGCTCCGTTGTTCTCTCCTTGTGCGTAGGTATTGATCAGAATTCATCGTGGTAGAGAACTGTTTGATCGGAATAACCGTTCCTCAACGATTCTTTCCAAACACATCTTTCTCTTGCGTTGTTCTTCTTCTGCGTCCTTCTTCTCTTCGACCTGCATCGTTCTTGTTGTTGGGTTCTTGTTCTCTCCTTGTTCGCAATTCATCCTAACAAATAACGTATTCATCGGATTTCCGCTCCAACCTAACGTTCTTCCATGGAGTCCAGTAAGTATCGTTTTTTTAGTTTGATCATTGTTTAAAATCTTCAAATTTTACGTTCCTTGATGAATATATGTGTAAAATATGATTTCAATTTCGATATGGTACTGTACAATTTTGACATGTGATTGTTACTTTTTTTCAATATTGTAAACTTCATGCGCTTCTACTTTATCGATGTTGTAAATCATTGATGAAAAAACTTTGTTATGTTAAAAGTGAATTTGTCGATATCAAACGATTGCACTATAAAGTGTATTATGATGCATTTGTGTTTGGACATTGCACTTTTACTTTAATGGCGTTGTTCAATGCATGTGTTTTTGAATACTTTATGTGTATGTAGCTTAATCCGTCTTAACATATATCAATATTTTATAAATGGTGTTATATTTATATTAAATTTACTTTTTTTATTTGGCTTGTTCACTTTAAAGTTTATTATGCTGCTCTTATATGTGTTGTGATATTGCCGTTTTACGGTGCTCTTTGTGCTAAAGTACGTGTTTGTGAATTATTGGTTTGCATGGTTCAATTAGGTTCAAGTGACGTTAACTTCAGTGCCTCTGCAGCAATTTCTCAATCCTTTGATGTTAATACTATGTACTGCACACCTAAATGTGACCCTGCTTTCAAACCGCATGTTGGTATGTTGTTCAATAACTTACAGGATGGTATGCGTTTTTATGAGCAATATGCATCAATTTGTGGTTTTGAATCACGTAAAAGCAGTCAACATAGGGCTCGTGATGGCGTTATTGTTTGGAAACATATGTTGTGCAATAGACAGGGCTTCAAAAATGTATCTAAAGCTAAGACGGTTGCATCTAACACTGAATAATTTAAGAATGTTGATTTAGATAATCAGCTTAGTAATGAAATTGAAGATTTCACTACTGAAAATGAATCATGTGAATCTGATGGATCTAAAAATGAAGACCAGCCTCATGGTGAAGATTTACCAACTCCGGGCGTATGCGTTGATGATGACGAGAAAAAAAAAGACGCATAGTTTCTAATAGGTGTGATTGCAAAGCACGTGTGGTTTATAGGCTTACCGACATGAATGGATACAAAATTACATTATTTGAGGAGAGACATAATCATTCTATGTCTTCTCTTTCTTCTATGTCATTCTTAAAAGTGAATAGGAAACTTGACATTGGTCATCAATTTTTTTTGAATTGTGCTAAAGCAAATAGTGGTACTATGAAATGCTACCGATTGTATAAGGAAACTGTTGGGGGTTATGCCAATATTGGTGCTACGTCTGTTGATTTTAAGAATTTTAAACGTGGCTTGAAGGCTTATTTAGTTGGCGTAGATGCCCAAATGTTGATAGATAAGCTATTTAGAAAGAAAGAGAGATATGTTTAGCCTTTTCATTTGACTATGATGTTGACGAGAGTGACCAGTTGACACACATATTTTGGGAGGATCCAGTGTGCATAAAGAACTTGCTTTATTCGGGGATGTTGTTTCTTTTGATGCAACATATGAGACAAACATGTATTGTTGTTATAAGTAATTATTCCCTTGAGTAATTTATTTTTTTTGTATATTTTTATTCATGCTATCATTCTGTTTTTCGTATGCTTTGCATTGATGATTCTAAAGTAGTGCACTTTGTAAAATAGTTCAATGCACTTTTGATTTTTTTTCACCCTGCAGGTATAACATGGTTTTTGCCCCTTTCACTGGCGTCGATAATCACAAAAAAGTGCATTACTTTTGGTGTGGGTTTGTTGTTGAAAGAGGATGTGGAATCTTATGCCTCGTTTTTTCATTGTTTTCTAAATGCAATGGGTCGGGAACCAAAGTGCATCATAACAGATCAAGACCCATTCATGAAAATTGTCATTCCATCGGTATTTAGTACAACATGTCACAGATTTTGTATGTGGCATATTATGTCCAAGGTGAGTTCGAAAGTTGGACCAGTGTTGAGTAAAGATTCCAATTTTATGAAAGAATTGAATTCTATTGTGTGGAGTCATTACTTGGAGCCAGCTGAATTTGAGATGAGATGGACTAATTTGATGAAAGAATATGACTTACTTCATCATAATTGGTTCTCGCACATGTTTGAGATTAGGAGGTTGTGGATTCCTGCTTATTTTGGTGACATTTTCATGGCAGGTTTGCTTAGGATTACATCACGTTCTGAGAGTGAAAATAATTTTTTTAATGAATTCACAAATTCTAATTTCAGTTTGGTTGAGTTTTATATGCAGTTTGAGAGTGAACTGGATTCGCAAAGACATAAGAGTGCACAATTGACCAAAGTTTCTGTGTCCTCCATTCCTGAGTACAAGACACCGTTACATACTGAGAGATATGCTTCCTTTGTTTATAATCATTCAATTTTTTATCTCGTTCAGAAGGAAATATGTTGTGCCTGCTTTTCTTGTGTTGTTCTTAGTCTTGACTCTTGAACATGAAGGTTGCGTGTTTAAGTATATCATATTAGATGAACGAGGTTTTAATTTCACTGTTGTGCACAATACTAGTGACAGTACTACACTTTGCTCTTGCAAAAATTTTGAAAGGCTTGGGATATTGTGTCGTCATATATTTTTTGTATTGAAAAATAAGAAGGTCAATGCAATTCCAGATAGGTATGTGCTCTGTCGATGGTGCAAAGATTCAATTCTAAAGCCTGTGAATGCATTCGAAGACGGTGTTTTTCAGCAGTGTGTTGGAAGTGAAGAACAAACCCTAACTATGAAGACATTGTGGTCTGATATTAATTTCTGTATTGGAATGATTGACCAGCAACCTCATTTGTTGAAGCAGATTTCAGATGCAATTAAGGTGCAAAAAGAATTATTGTCTAGCTCTCAAACAAGTAGTGCAGCAACATCTTCTAAAAGAGATGTCATCAAAGGCTTTTATGGGTCATCGATTCCTACTGAAGTGAGCGTGCATCCACCTCAGCAGGCTCGAAATAAGGGTTGTGGTAAGAGGCTTAAAGGTGGCAAGGAGAAGGCAATTAAAGTAATCCAAAAGACTAAGAGATTATGTAGAACATGTAATAAAAAAGGGTATCATGACAGTATGAATTGTCCTTTGAACTTGGAGGAATAATCAATCTTTTTTATTCATGTTTAGTAATTGTTTTCGATTTTGGAGGAATGATTTCACTTTTTTATTTTTTTTAGTACTTGTCATTTTCACATGTACAAATTCTTATTCTTTTTAGTATATTGGTTCTATTTTTTGTGTGTTTGTATTATGTTATATTATAAATTAGTATTGATTGTGCATTGTTATCACCAAATCGTTCATTGTTTCTACCCAATAGTGCATTGTTAAAATTAATTCTTCATTATTTTAAAAATATAATACAACACAAATGAGAATGCATTGTTATCACCACAACGTGTAGTGAAAAATACATATGACAATGCACTTGATCAGATATCAATATACTTTACGTAGTTTAAGTACTTTAAATAATACATGTTATAGATATTTTAGGTCATGGTATTCATTGAATATTCCAGGGTTATGATCACAAATGCTTCAATGGTTTAATCAAATTGTGCATGTTTAAATAACAAGTAGCCACATAATAATATATATGCACTGTTGCGTTTAAAAAGTGCATAACTTCATGATATATGATTTCATATAACAACTAAATCAAATGATCCATTTCATTAATCCCACCAATATGTTTTCATAATCACCAAAGAAGTAAGATGAAATTGTCAAAGAAATTCCACAGTAACCTCAAAACTTAGTTTTGCATAGATTTCATGTGCGTCTAACCACAAAACAAACGCGCAAGCCATTGCATATTTAAAAACCAGAAATGTTTATAAATAAATATCCTTGCAATAAAGATAGTAAATATAAAGGGCTAAAGTATTCTTTCACGTCTACTTTATCAAATTATTCGCCTTCACCGCATTCACGTGGTTGTCCTTGACCTCGTTAATACCTGATGTCAAAATAGATGCACAATATTTCATTCTCAATGCATTTAGTGCCTTTGCATCACCTTTTTTAACTCCACAATTTCATCCTCTGGTCCCTTGGCCCATGTACGTTTCCATATGTCTCATGCTCCACACTCCATAATCATACTCACTCCTTGGTTCTCTCCACCTCATCTTCAATCTTGTCAAAGCAGGTGTGTAGAATGTGTTTTCGTCGGTATCCAGTTCCATTTCGGTCATGAAATCAACAAACACGTCTCTCTGTTTTCAACATTTTCAACAAATAGTTTATTAAATCAAAATATACATGACTTCTTTAAACCATAATATACATTAAAATTTTCATTTTTATGTGTATTGTGCACTAAACTCACCAGGGAATACGACATTTGACCATACTTTTCGTCAAAGTGCATGTTCACCGATGAGTTGTCCAACACTTCGATTTGCTATTTTTTCATGTTCAAAACCACAACATAACATTGTTGTGGTTGAACAATTGGAAAGAAGAGCTGCACATTGAAGACATTTCACTATAATATACATACGATTGCACTAAAACAAATTATTTGTGCTTACAAGTGTAAATGATTTTTACCATATCAACATCTTTCATTTTTACATCAGGTTTAACGGATTCCAATGCCAGCTCCATTCCTTCTTTAAAAACTTCGTAAGACTTGTTTTCTGGGATTCGGCCTGCCATTGTGTATAGCTGCAAAAACCTTTATCAAAATATGCACTTTTGTAACCAAATTAATGCATTTACATTCATAACACTTACATAGGGATATGATTTCATAAACAGTCAGCACGGTGATGTTTTACTTTGTGTTTTCTCATTATTATTCAAGCAGATTGTCCACGCATCTAACACGTTCATGTGCATGTGCTTTTTATCCCCTAGGCTAATCATGTCACCCCGCGTCACTGAAACCTGTTCATACTTGAACATAATCTCTCCCCTAATTTTGCACAAAATAATACATAACTTATTTTTATGTTTAACACTAAAATTATAAAGTTTTATACTTGACAATGTTTTTTTATATGTTATAGCTCTTATCATCTCCTTATTGCATTACCCATTTCTACATCAACTTTTCACTTGCGCATGAGGGCTGATTAGGGTCAACTACTCGTGCAATAAAAGGAGACTTCGTAACTTCAGTTGCCTTTCCTCTCCTTCTTGATCTCAATTCCAGTTCACTTTTTCCTATAACCAAAGCGTTGCTTGTGTCCTTTTTTTCTGTTCCTTGTTCTGCAATTTAAATGCACTTTTCAATTAAATGTCATTATGTTACCACAAAATAACAGGCTACCTACGATCTTGAACTATTAAAAAACAATCAAGTTTTCCATTCATGAATATGTAAACGTTAGTTACCTCAACAATCTTCTCCTTTCCCTTCACATCCACAGATCTCACACCGCTCTCTACTCGCACCTTCAAAAAATATAAAATAATACTTTATGCACAGTTACACATAACTAATTGCAAATTTGGATGTCATAAGTTTTTCACTAAATAACAATTAATCCTTTGAAAATATTTAAATTTTACGTACTTCATCAATTTTTTCCTTCCCCTTCACACTCTTACTTCTAACATCTCCATCTTCATTAATCTTCATAAAAGTTAAAATGTCAATACTACCTTTACTTTTAAACAATAAGTATTATATGCTCAAATTAATAGTAAACAATGCATAGTTTGCTTAACCAAATGCACATTTGGATCTTCTTAATTTTTATTAAAAATGAACTCTAAAAATATTTCTACTCTATTTACCTCCATAATATTTTCTGTCAACATTGCTTCCTTCCCCTTCTCCGTCTGCCTTGCCACATTCTCTTCTCCTTCAACCTTCAAAAAAATGTAAAATTATTACATTATTTGTTAAAAACCATTAAATATTATATGAGTTAGCGTTTACGTGTATACCAAATCATCATTCACTTCCTTCTCAATTTCGGCGCACAAATCAGATATGGTGGTAAACTGATGTTGATTTTCATGTGTCAATCCAATTGAAAAAGAAGGAGTATCTTCAATTCCTTTCTCGTATAAACACTTTTTTTGATTAGCATTTTCCACTCTCTCCACTCCAGCAATTGTTTTCAGCGTAGAATGCATCATCTTCTCTCCCTTGAGTACTTCTTGCATCAGTTTCTTCTGTACGATCAACTGTTGTTTTCATCTTCCCTACACCACTCAGTTCTTGTGCAGCTTCTTGGATCCTTATGAAATTTTCCTTTTCAGTTAAGCTCGCTGGTGCTTCTTCAAACATCTTGAGCACATCAATCACAGCTGATGCCAACACTTTGCTTTTATGTGCAAATCTTTTAACATATTCCTGTTTTTATACAATCAAGTTATTTCCCCTTTCATTTGCACACTTGCACACAAATAGATGCTAAATTTAGGAAAACAGAATCAGAATTTTAGTTAACTTTACCTCATCATTGTCACCACCAGTATCCTGCACCTCTACTCCATGTCCACTTCCACCTTCATGATCTCTTTGTTTCCCTTCTTTTAATTCAACCTTCTCCGAACATTCACATATCAGTGGGCCATCACAGTACCCCATCCCGAACCCGCCACTCTCTATTTCAAGCAATTCTCGCTCTCTTAGAAGCTTTCCACTCCACCCTTTGAGCACAGGTAAAGTCCTAACCACTCTTCTCCTACACAGTACCACTTTGTCCACATAGAACAACTGCACCACAATTTATTGTTATTACACTTTACAAGCTATGAATAAAAATATACTTGAAAATGCAATAATCATGTTAATTCTAGTTGTTAAACTTACCGTTAAAAATAGCAATGGACCAGTGAATGCCTTATCCTTCTTCTTCTCCCATGATATTTTACTATCAATTAGCACATTGAGTACATGGTCACACCGATCTATCTCCTTGATCTTTTCAACATCCTCCAAATGATTGATAATCATTGGATTCACATAGCCATTTTGTGTGCTGTCTAGAAGCAGTGATACAACAAGAACAATGAAATGCCTACAAAACCACTCAACACCTTCTTTGATGCTCAACATTTCTTCGCTTACATCAGATGGGCTGATTTTGTAATCATCTTTCTCAAATATTGCTCTCCACTGTGTAAGCAATGCACATTCTTCGTTCTTCCCTTTTGTATTATTTTTTTGCCTCCTAATGGAAATCCCAAAATGCGGGCTACATCCTCTTCTGTTATACGCACCTCGCTACCATTGTGCAGCACCATTGAACGCATTTTCAGGTTGAAGTTATCAACCACCCAAAAACCCGACCTTCCTGGTATTTCACAAATTTGCAGCTTAAACAATGCACCAAAACCCATTTTTGTGTATCTCCTCTTTATGAGCTTCAATCATCACAGCGAGTGATTTAACAATCAAATTTGGTGATGATCTAGTTCTTATTGTCATATACCTGGATTTGATATCTTTAATGCTCTCTTTCTTATTTTCTTGCTCACATTCGCAACTACCTCATTTGCATCATTACCTTGACCTGGTTGTAATTCAAAATCATCATCACTTTCTTCTTCTACTAGTTGTTTCCTCTTCCTCTTCGACCTACATTGGTTGTTTTCTTGTTCATGAGTGATAGCCAGTTGTTTCGCTTTATTGTTCATCACCACCTGCAACTGTTCTTCTCTACTACCTGCAAATTGAAAACGAATGCACTATGTTTCTTAAGCAATGCACTATTGCTCTGTTTCACAACAACAAAACTACTCTATATGGTAGTACCCAATAAATATCTACTTTTTGTACACACAAATTTTTTGACTTCCATCGAAAAGCATTTCTATAACATATTTTGTGAACATTATGTTCATGACATATATAAATAGTGTTGCACTGTAGCATCATATTTTTCAACATATTGCATTGACTTCATGCACATTCCAAAATATCTAACTCTTATCACAATTTCACCTATGATATAAGCAATTCATGGTTTGTTTCAATATTTGCTGCACTTAGGATTTAGACTATAATATGAATTCCTACCAATACAAGACAAAACAATTTAACTATGCACTATACGCCTTTTTTATCACATTAATGAGATACTTTTCATGACCCTAATTTCTTAATTTTTCAATTCTTGATTAAAATAAACTTCCGTATTCAAATTTCAATGCACTTTAATTGCTTAATCCATTATATTCTTTTTTTTCATGAAGTAATGAAAAAAATGCACTACT